GGAATGAGTAATGCAATCCCTACCCGACCCTGACCTTGTCCTCACCCCGACTTTATATTTAAATTTAAATTTTAAAATATTAATATTTTAAAAGTATTTCCTTTTCTTTTTCTATTACATATAAGGTCATTTTTTTATATTTCACCAATTTTTATTTTTCTTCTATCCACTTTTTAATTTTTTGTCTTTTTTAATCTTTTATATCAATTAATTTATTATATTATTCTCTCTATTACCTTTCAGTTTTTCACATTTCCTTATATATCTCTCATCAATTTGTTTTTTTTTTCAATCTTTTCAACCAATTTGATAAACACAAAGTTAATTTTTTTTATTCTTTATCTTTTTTCTAAATATTTTACATAAATCTTAGTAGTAACTAATATTATTTTATTTATAATTTATATTTATTAGGTTTTATTATGTCATATTTTTTTATCTTATTATTCTTATTTATCATATATCAAATTTTATCTTAATAAAATAATTTTATTTTAAATGATTAAATGAAATTAATAATTTAAACTTTTATTACTTCGAACTAATTAAAAAAGAATTAACTTATTAAATATTTCCTTATAAACCATATATTTCATATTTTTAAATGACAACTTAAAAAATGAATTAACTTATATATATATATATATATATATATATATATATATATATATATATAATCAAATGTTTGAATATAGTATTATAATAATAATGTTATAAGTATTCAAATATTTAAATAAAGTGTTATAATAATAATAATAATGTTATAAATAAAAAATAATTAATTATTTCTTTTGCATACATATTTTAATATAAATATAATAAATTAAAATGTATATTTAATTAATAATAATTATAAATTATAAAATTATAAATATTTATTTATATATAAAAATAAATAGTAAAATTAATTTATTATAAATGTAATTATCTTTTTAAAAATAATATAGATCGGGGACTGGGAACCCGAAACCCAGTAGGGACGGAGATGGAAACTTAATTTCTAATCCCAACGAGAGATCGAGGATGGTTAAAAAAGTTGGGGCGGAGATCGGGAGGCAAAACCCGTCCCCGCCCCTGCCCCAACCTCATTGCCATGTCTAAATTTGATAGAATAAGATTTGACAATAAATAAATAAAAATATTATAACAAACGAAGAATATGTATTTTTGAAATATTATAATTTCTATGTATGATATCACAATTCTAAGACAGAAGAAATATTTTAATTATCTTTTATTCTTGATGTTAAATTCAACCTTAAAAAGTTATTCAAATGACTGATTTTAGTGAGATTGTAGTTAGTCATAATTAAGTCATAAACATAAATAAAAATTATTATCTATTTTTTTTATTAATAAAAATAATTGATAAGTCAGGAATTAAATTTGACTTTTCATGATCTATTAGCTTACTTTTTAATATCTTGAAAATTTATAATACAGTATTTTTCAGATATAACTATATTATATAAATATTTTTATAAGACCTAAAATAATTAAAAAAGTCATTATAAAAAATAATAATTAAAAAATAAGGACTTATCTTTTGATAAGAAAAGATAAATATAGTAATTATTATTTTGATTTAAAATAAATACAAATTAAAACATAATTATGAGTATAAATAAGAGAGGTGAAGGGTAGAGAAAGTGAGAGAGAGAAAAAAAGAGGAAGAGAGGAGAAAAAAGAATGAGAAGAAGAGAAAGGATAGAAACAAAAAAAAACAAGAAAGGAAAGAGAGAATAAAAGAAAAACATAAACGAAAATATATATTCTCTTTTTAATTTTGGTGTATTCTGTTTTAGAAAAGTGTTATTAATCTTATTTTATTGTCTTTTTTATTATTTATATTTATATTTAATTTATTTATAGTTATATATTTGTCATTTTTATTTATTAATATTTATATTATTTACTTTATTTTTAAATTTAAAAAAAATTATTTGATGACATTATAATTAAAAATTAGACATAGAAAATTCAAATGAGTAAACATTATTCAATAACAAATATATGTTAACCATGACAAATACTCATATTAGTCATTACAAAACTAAATCAAATCTTATATATGAACATAAAATAAAATGAAATATATTGATAAATTTAAAAATGTAATTTGTATATTATTTTGATATGATATTATTTTATATTATATTTATTCTCATTTTCCTATTTTTACTCCGTATCCATAATAAAACTAAAAATATTAAAAATATTACTTTAAATAGATAGAGGTGTCAAATTTTTCAAACCCTTTATTTATAGTCATCAGAAGAATGTTTTTAAGAATTAATTGCACATACCTATCAACTTTAACCTCTATTTATGATATCTTACTTTTATCACAGTAGAAAATAATCATCTTTCAAAATTTGGTTTAAATAATAATTAGACTACAAATATATATAAAAAAAATGACATCACATTTGATGGTTTTAGAGAAATGTTCGAGTGAGACCCATAAAATGAGTTCATCATAAGATTTTATAAATACTAACTTGTATAATTTTAGATAACAAATAATAAAGGAATGGGTTAACAGAAATAATAAAGATATAAGAGACATGAATGTTATATTATTAACCATTGAATTATAAGATTTTGTTTAATTTATAAGAGATATTCACAATTCTCTAAAGGTTATATCCAAAAAAAAAAAACTTATGGATTAAGGAGATGAGAAAATATTTTGAGTTATAAATTGTTTTGATAATCAAAAGGTAGATTTTGTTGTACTTATGTTAATAGGAGAGAATGAACAAACTAAGAGATTATTAAAATGAGGGAGAATAATTATTACCTAAAAAGTGTTTAAAACAAAATTTTTATAAAAATATTTCCCCAATTATGTAAGTAGGACACAAAAAATTGAGTTTATAGAATTAAAACAATAGAGTGGACAGTATAAGAATGTCTATAAGTTTGAAGAATTAGGAAAATAATATACTTTCTTTTATCATCTAGATGTGAGGATGAAGTATATAAAATTTAAAAATGAACTTAGACTTGAATTGATAAAAATTGTGGAAATATACACTTATTTACAAATGTAAATTTTTGGAAGATTTTGAGAAAAATCAAAATAATAAACCAAAATATTTTGGATCTCAGCCAAATGAAAAAAGATAAAACAAAGGAAAACTCTGCATGACAAGATTATTATGCTAAATACTTCTTAAAGGACTTGTTTGTGGGAAACTTGGTTATGTATTTTATGAATATGGGTAACAAAAATCACATTCTAATATTTTTGAATCTAAAAAAAGACTTACAACAATAGGGAGAGTCTACACTATGACTAAAGCTATTCAAAACAATGATATCATCTAAGTGTGTTTTATTAAAGGTAAAACTTTAAATGTAATGTATGATTCAAACACAACTCATTAATTCATTTTTAATGGTTGTATTCAACTCGTTAAATTTCCAATTTCCTTTATAGATGCTAGTTTAGTTGTTTGACCCTAGGAGTAAATTTATAACTATCAATAAAGTTTGTCCACATTGTCCTCTATTTATTTGAAAACAAAAAATTTCTTATAAATTTATTTTATCTATCTTTGTCACAATCATACATGATCTTAGGTATATATTGGTTATATTCTAATCAAGTACTTTTAAATTGTGCAGAAAAATCTATAATATTTTCAAAATTTGAAAATATTTGAATTTATCTACCAACTCAATAAATGGATCTTTAGATAATGAAGTTCAAGGACATTTGTTATCATATTTTGTGAAAATAAAAAAGGAATTCAATTTAAAAACTTTAATAGTTGTTCAAAAAATTTCTAAAATTTTTCCAAATGATATTCTATGTTTACCACCTAACAGAAATATTAAATCCTCAGTGGATTTTATGTTTGAATCTGGACCAATTTCTATAACATATAGAATATCACCCTTTAAACTAATATAAATGTAGAAACAATTGAAAGAGTGAGTTGAAACAGAGTTCATTGATCCTAATGTATTCAATGTTTTTGTTTTGTCAAGTAAGAAGAAAGATGAAAATTTTAAGTGTGTGTACGTTCAGTTAAATAAATTTACTTTAAAGAATAAATATCTTTTTTCTAAAATAGTAAATGATTTGATAGATCAGTTAAAAAAAATTATATTTTCTCTAAATTTAAGATCATAATACCATCAAATTAGAATAAAGATAGAAATACAAAAAATTACATTCATAACTAGATTAATCATTTTATATATATATATATATATATATATATATATTAAGTAATGTCTTTTTTATCTTTTTTAGTTTATTCTGTAGTTATGTAGTTATTTTTATATGAAATTCTTATTTATTCTAAATTTCTGGAGAACTACGAGAAACATCTTCAAATTATTATTTAAATTTTGAAAAATAAATCATTATATGATTTCACGAGAAACATATTCAGATTATTATTTAAATTTTGAAAAACAAATTATTATATGATGAATGGTGTAAGTGTAAATTTTACTTAGAGGAATTAAAATTTACAAAAAATGTCATAAACACTTTATGTTTCCATAAAAAAATCATAAAAGTCTAAATATATACAAATTAAAAAATAATAAAATATACAGACGGGAATTTTTTTAGAAGATTTGTGGTTATAATTGAAACCGGTGTTTGCAATATAATATTTATTAATGTAGTGTTCTCTGCTTGTGTTATATTGTTTGTTTTGATTTATTGTATTGCTTAATGTTATGTTATGACTACGTTACATGCTCTAAAGCATGTGATGCTCTAAAAAATGTGATTCTAAAATTAAAATAAAATTGATTGATTAATAAAAACAAAGATGGATAAAAAGGAGAAGGTTGAAGCCTTTGATTGTGATGCTTGGAACTTCCATGCTTTCACCTTTGTCTCCGCTCAACGTATCGCCCACACCAAACCAAACCCATCCATACTCACGTCAGGCACAAACTCAACCCCCTCTTTCATCTCCTCTTATTTTAATACATTATCCTTCAAAACCCTTTTCCCTCTCTCTATTTACTTCTCATGTGACCATTGTGGCTTGGTTCATTGAACCGGTTTCGCAATGCTCCATCAATGTCACTCTCGAACGGGCAATTTAAAGCTTGAATCTGGCCTTGTCCCTTCCAATTCTTCGTTCCGTCCGGATCTCCACTACTTTCCTCCGTGTCTGGGGATCCTCGCGCGTAGAGGTGTATTTTTTTGGAAATTAAGGAAACAGTACTTTCAAAAATTTTGTAATCAAAATTTTGTAATTTCTATTTATGACTTTTACTTCTAAATTTTAATATATTTATTTATATATTTATAATTTTATTTTTTTAATTTTATAATTTTTATATAATTTATAATTTTACTATCCCAAATTTAATTATTATTTTATACATTTATTTATATATTTATAATTTTATCTTATTACTATTTTATTTTCTTTATTTTTTATATTTATTTATTATTTTTTAATAATATATTATTTAACACGTCAAAATCGAAGATGGACCAGTTCTCGCATCCTCTCTATCAACCTTCCGTTACACCTCACCCCGTAACGCTCTTCAGACGTGTGAATATATATGCCTGACCCGTGCCGGTCAAAGTACCAATTTGACATATTATTTCATTAATATTTATATATATATATATATATATAATATTTATTAATTTTATTTTTATAAAATAAATTTTAATAAATATTATGTATATATATATATATATTAAAATACCTATTTATAAGTTATAATTAATAATTTAATTAATTAATATTTATAATATTATAATATATTTTAACCACATAAAAAATATTTTTAATTATAATTATTTTTATTTTAATATATAAATATTTTTTAAAATAAATAAATTACCTTATTATATGAGCTGAGAGAGAGATCCATTTTATCATCTCATTCGCTGTTAGTTCTCCAACTCTTTATTTTCTGTGTACAAGTGGATTTCCTCTTTTCATTCTATCTTTTTACAGCAACACTGCATTAAGGTGTAAAAAAAAAAATATATATATATTTTAACATGCTCACGGGTCTATACTTTTTGTTTCTGTTCTTTTACCAAATAAAATTGAATTTTGGGTTTGCTGATTAATAAAGTTAATTAATTTATTTTTATCAATTAAAAATATTTTTAGTGAAATAATAATATAAAAATAATTAAGTAAATATTTGAAGTCATAAAAGATTTTCATATGCATTAAAATTCATTTTGTCTATTCTATTATTTTATTAGACATCTATAATATTAGTAGATAATTAAATCATAATTATACTTATAAATATTTAATAATAAAATAATTTTATAAAATAAGATATATTTATAATTTTATAATAATAATAATTACTTTGAATGTATTTTTAATTTAAAAACTACTACTAAAAATATTATAATCACTTTAAATATATTTTTAATTTATTATTATAAAAAAATAATATTAATATTAAAATTTATAAACATATAATAGGAAACTCTAAATTATTTTAGAACTTATGGAAGAACAAATATAGTAGTAAAAAAATTTTAAAAAATTAAAATAGTCTAATTTGGTTATCTACAAATTAATTCAACTACTTTATATACACTTCTAATTTTATTATCTAAGAATTAAATACAATCATTTTAAATATACAAACAGTATTTTTTTATAATTATTTATAAATTAATAATAAATACTATAATTTAATTTGATTATTATAATAATTAAAATTTATTATTCACAAATATTTTCTACCAAAAGAATTATGTTACTCTTATTCTCTACTATACGTGAGATCAATAATATCAATCAAACAAAAAAAATATTATCTTTTATTTTTAATAATAGTTAATTTTAATAAATTTATAAATATATAATAAGATATAATTTTACTTGAAGGATAAAATAAATCATTTTTAAGATACTTTTAACTTTTTCACATTTAATTAAAGGTAATATTTTAGAACGAATGTTATAAGGAATTATTACATTTTTTATATATAATTAAATGTCTGATCTAACTTTTATTTCACAAACCATCCTTCTTTCTTTTAAATGTTTTTTTTTCAAAAAATTTCTTAAAAAAATATTGGTAATGACTCTATTATTATTTTTTTATTTAAATTTATATTTTTGTTGTCACATCACATTTTTTGTTGCGCACATGTGATTTTCAAAGAAGGAATATCAGCGGACCCAATTAAAGTAAAAACAAATTTACACTGGAATCTACCAAAAATAATAATTGAGATTAGTAGTATTTTTTAGTAGGATATATATGGAAGATTCATTAATGGATTTTTCTAGAATAGGTATGTTTTTAACTCAACTTACCAAGAAATATCAAACTTTTGAATTGACAAAAAATAAGAGAATAGTTTTTAAGAACTCAATAAAAGATTAATCAGTTCCCATATGTTAGCATTACTCAATCTTATTGGATACTTTGTGATTATTCCAAAATGGGATTAAGATATGCTTTTGCAAAATAGGAGAATAGTAACATTTGTTTTTGGATATTTAAGAGCACAATGAGAAAAATTATCTAATTCATGATCTAGAACTAATTACATTGTTTTTAAACTCAAAATATGATAACATTATGTACATAATGGTAAGTTCAAGGTTTTTAGTGATAACAAGAATCTTAAATATTTGTTTGATAAAAAGGAGTTAAATATGAGATAGAAAAGATGAATAAATTTTTATAAAGATTATAATTTTGAATTACATTACTACCTAGGAAAGACAAATATAATGAGAGACACTTTAAGCATAAAATCCCTATGTTTGATTAGAATTATAGGCTAAGATCAAAAGGGGGGTGAATTGATCTTTACAAACTTTTTCGCAACTTACAGATATAGATTAACAATTTCAAAGATTAAGAAATCTGATCAAGTATTAAACTAAGAAAATCAAACTAAATTGAATAAAGTTCAAGCTGAATTAAAGAAAATGATGGAAGAGGAAAAGAAACACCAAGAATTATACTTGTTCACCCAAACCACTGGGATACATCCAATTATCAGTCAAATTCCAGTTGAGTTCCACTAGATTAAATAGTTTGATTTACAGAATCAAATTACAGAAAATCTAACCTGCACCAAGAACCAAATTTCAGTTCTTGAATCCAACCTGCAACCAAATTCTAGTTGCAGAACCAAACTTGCACCAAGAACCAAATTACAGTTCTTGAATCCAACCTGCAATCAAATTCCAGTTGCAGAACCAGACTTGCACCAAGAACCAAATTCCAATTCTTGAACCCAACCAGCAACCAAATTTCAGTTGTAGAATCAAACCTGCACCAAGAACCAAATTTCAGTTCTTGAACCCAACCTGCAACCAATTCCAATTGCAAAATCAGTACCCAATCTTCCGAGACACCAAGACAATACAAAATAGAATTGAAAGAATAAAGAAACTAGAACAATCAAACACGATTATATAGATGCAGAAATCCTACTGCATAATGAGTTTTTTCACAAGCAAGAATATAGAAATTTCTCAAGAAAGAACTTCAAAAATTCCTACTGAAAATAACTTACTTCTCTCTTGAAAAGATATCTATTGATTGTTTGAATGATTTCTAAAATATGTGTTTTTAAAATGTTGAAGCAAATATGTTTATATAGAGAATTTTCAAACAAAATGGTTTAATTAATCGATTAATTCGTCTTTTAATTGATTAAAAAATCTTGATTCTAACAGTTTTAAAATGTTCTACAACAATTTTCAGAAATATTTTAACTGATAAAAACACGGTTTAATCGATTAAAACAGTTACACAAAAATCCTTAAGTGATTTTAATCGATTAATTCAAAGTTTAATCGATTAAAATACTGATAGAACATTTTCTAAAACTTCTTAAGTATTTTTAATCGATTAATTCGAATATGTATCGATTAAACCTGTGACAGAACATGCTTACACTTAATTTAAGTGGTTTTAATCGATTATTTCGAAAATACATCAGCTAAAAATGTGTCAGAAATGTTTTTAGCTGATTTTAATCGATTAGTATGTAAATATATTAGTTAAATCCGAGACTTAAGAACATATTAACCGATTAAAAGATTTTTAAAAAATTAAAATATTTAGAGACATTTTTATTTCTTTCAAATGATAGAATCTTATGTTGTAGAAATAGATAGATGATTTACTTACTTAAATTGATGCAGACTCACTAAACACTACATCCCTTATCCTATAAACCCTTTGACTTCATCAAATCTTCAAGATCTTTACTATCAATATCAATTTCCTTATTAATGATTCAAAAGATAAGTTTGTTAGAAAAATTCAAGGACATGAATTTGTCAATTATAGTAAGTCATGATAAAATGAAATTAAACTCAATTACGATTCCTAATGACTTACAAAGGAAAATTCATGAGGCTCAAATAAATAATGAATTCATTCAAAATAAAAAGAAGTTGATAGGATGAAAGAATGGAGAAAATTTTGACATACATAGGATAAAGATTTTGATATTTAATGGTAGGATACATGTGCCTAATAATGTAGAGATTAAGAAGATGATTTTAGAATAAACACATAAGAGCAAATTAAACATACATTCATACATAACAAAAATGTATCAAAATCTTAAGAAAATATTTTGGTGACCCGAGATAAAGAAAGAAGTAACACATATGTAACACAATTTGTAGTTTGTCATAAAGCTAAAATAGAATACCATAAGCCAGCAAGAATGCTACAAACTTTAGATATATCTTAGTGGAAATAGGATAATATAATAATGAATTTTGTTGTTGACTTACCATGAACAATTTAAATATTTGATTTCATATGGGTTATCATGGATAGGTTAACAAAGTCTATTCACTTCTTACCCATTAATTGGAGAAATTAATTGAATTGTAAACAAAATTGTGAGATTGCATGGAGTTCCATCCGATATTCTATCTAAAGGGATCCTAGGATTACTTATAAATTTTGGAGAAATTTACATCAAGTCTTAAGGACTAAATTTCATTTTAGCTCAACTTTTGATCCCTAAACAAATTGACAAACAAAAAGGGTCATTCAACCCTTGGAATATTTATTAAGAGCTTGTGTGCTAAAGGATGTTAGGAATATTAGGAAATTTATTTGATACTATGTTAAATATGGAAAACTATAAATAAAATATATTCTAAAAAGTATTATCTGTCATTTTTATTACCCACTAGGAGAAGGGACAAAGGTATATATATATATATAATAGAGCACTCT